TATTTATGTACGCCAACGATAAAAGAGAAACATTTATTGATATAATAGACTTGTCAAATAATAATAATACGATTACATTTTATGTTTTATACTTTTATCTAATGTATATACTGTTATAAAAAGTAAGTAAAGAGAAAATTTATAATTGAAAAATATTTTTTTCTTTGATATCGTTGAATTTTATAATATATATACATTCGATCCAGAATTCATATCGAAAATAATTAGAAGATCTTTTTATTTTATTATAAAAGACTAACATAAAGTTCTGAAGAAACATTATAACAAAATGTCTATTCAATTTGAATCTGCGTTTGTTTTAAATCACTATATTTTTGTTCTCACATCTATCTTAGTAAGTTTCATCCTAGTGCAGGGAGTTGTTTATTCGAGATAAAAATTAAGTAACAGTGACGAATTTAGGGAGAGGGGGGGGGCAATCGGATCGATCGTTCCCTCTCTTTCAGAATATTTTTCTGATTTTTTACAGTGAAAATGAACGAAAAAATAGATTCACAGCACTTCGATTGGACTCAAAAGATAGTTTTTAGCCGAAATCGCCTCCTCCCTTACTCAGTTATCGCCACTATCGACTTGAAAATCGCCCCCCCCCCCTTCATAAATCCTGGATCTGTCACTGTTAAGTAAAATATTTTTTTTCTTTCAATCAATTGATTTTATAACTGTAAAAACACTTGATAATAAATAATGGATTAGATAGAGAATTAAAATTTTCGACTTGAATTAGTTAATTAAGATCTAATGATTTATTGTTAATTGAGCTCATGAAGGCCGCTCGTAGAAATGAATTTTATCGTATTATGTCAAAAAACAATTGTAAACTAATCGATATTTTCTCCTTATTAAAGTACAAATAACGAATATATATATTTTTCTATTACAGAGGTACAGAATCTTCCCAAAACAAAATTTCCCCCTCCCCGGAAAAATTTTTGAAAAGATTTCCCCAGAATTTTCAAAAATTTCCCCGCACGGGGGCGCACGAGAAAGATTCTGTACCTCTGTTCTATTACCTCAAGTGAATTAACTGTTTTGTATAAAATACTTTTATCTTGAAAAGAACTGAGATAATGTATTTTCTTATCAAATTCTATGATAGTTTGTTTTTTGAATACCGATAACAGTCAAAATCAGAAGATTGAAGTAAATCTATCATCCTTTCTTAAATTTTATAATCATTTTTTCTTCTTTAGTTTTAGTATATTATGTTTCATGGTTTATATAACTTTTTTATATTTATAATTGTCTTATTTATTATATGGATTTGTTTAATAAAGATTCTTTATCGTAATAATCAATGTGCATACATTCGTCATAATAATAATTCATTTGAAAAACAAAATAATCAATCGTATAACTCATTTCAAATTGATACACGTTTAAAATTACATCATTTTACTATTCTTGGTACCCATAATAGTTATCATAAGGAAAGTCATTTTTATAAATATGAACATTCAAATCTTGATGAACAATTATCATATGGTATACGACAAATTGAATTAGATATTCATTTAATGTCAAAATATGATGTTGTTTATCATTTACAAATATTTGATGATAAAACAAATTGTTATTGTTTAAGGCATTGTTTAGAAAAAATATTTTATTGGAGTCAAATAAATTCATATCATTATCCAATTTATTTATTTATTGAAATAAAACAAATGTTTTATGAAGATTTATTTACTGCGTTAAATGGTGGCATTAAATGTAAACATTTTCAGATGATTAAAGAACAAATTTTAGAAATTTTTTCAATTGATTCATTAATTTTACCTAAACATATACAAGGAAATGAAAGTTCAATTCGTTTGGCTTTAAATAAACAACGACAAAATGAATTAAATAATAATTTTTTATATGAAAATTATGGTTGGCCACCATTATATATTTCATTAGGAAAACTAATGCCTATTTTTATTGATGATGTACATAATATTGCCAAAAAATTAATTCATACCTGTGAATCACTTTCAAATTTTTTCTTTATTGCTCAAACAAATGTCGACGTAGATTATGCATCAATTATCCGTGTTTCTAATCTTTTAGAAAATCAGCATTTAATAATAGATAATAAAAATAATGGACAAATGACACGTATTTTACTTGGTTATAATGGTAAACAATTAATGGAAAACTATAATCAAGCAAAAAAATATGGTATTAATATAATAAGTACAGATTCAGTGCAATGTAATAATACAGAATTATGTCGAAGTTTAATGATTGATTTTCAAGGAACTTCATCAGTTTTATGTAATACTATTCTAGCACCTAATTTTTGTAATACATCAATGTTAATCCTGTGATAATAAGGAACTAAGTTGTCATACGAATATCTTCAAGTATCAGTGAGGCTTATAAGTCCCACTTTTTTACAATTTGCGAAATTCCGAATAACTCACGAATACAAAGTGATAACGAAGTGTGGCTTTCACTACGACATAGAAGAGACTTTGATACACATATGTATGTAAGCTAAAAAACCCTACTGAGGTTACTGAGTCAGTTTTTGACTCCCGTTCGTATATCTCCGAGGAAGTGGCTAAAATAAGTCCCACCGTTTTCGTAGTGGGGCACGGCTAAAAGTTGAAAAATGACTAAAAATACTTTTTTAAAGTGTCAATAATACGCAATATCAAGTTTTATAGGTTGAATCATGGTCCTCCAAGAGTTAATCTATAGTTTCCATAAATTAAACTGTAAAATCATAGCATTTACTAGACTATTCTTGTTGTACTTAAACTAATCATTTAACTACGAGTGATTTCCTAGTATTTTTAAACGCACAAATATCAATTTTCAGAAAAGCGTTTATCTGACATTTCTTTTTGGTATAATTCAGATTATAAATAGATCATTAACAAACCTCCGGTAGTCAAAAAGCTAAAATAATTGATCTGATAGACGAATATTTATTTTTAAATTTGATAATAATTTTTTTTAAGACAAGAAATTATTTCTAATAAATTAAACTATATTTTATTTTATTTTTAAATATTTTATAAAAGAAAAAGTTTTAATCAACAGTTTCGATGGTATATGAAATAAATTTTTCTTCCAATGGTGATAATATTGATTTATGTTCAATTGTTGAAACATTTAATTTAACATCACCAATAGATTTGATTAATTTAACTGAACGAGTTGAAATTACTTGTTCATATTCAATATTTACTGGACGAAATTTTTTGAAATTTTTAAATGAAATATTAATATTATAAATTGTTTGTGTTCGTTCTTCAACTTTACTATTTGAAAGTGTTTCATTATATGTATGTGTTGATATTAAAGTAATATTTTCTTTCGAAATTATATCTGAATCTTCACCAATTGAAAAATCATATATATTATTAGCAGCTAAATCTGGTAGAAATGTTTCACCAACAAGTTGATCATTTTCACGTATCATACAATTACCACGAGAAAGAAATTTATCGGATGTTAATCGATAAGTACGTTCTGCTTTAACAGTTCTTTTTCCAATACCACTGAATGTTTGTTTATTAAAACGTTTTATACGTTCAATAGTAACAGATGGACGAAACATTGGTAACATATAATTTGTTTTTCCATCAATAGCAAATGATTGATTAATGCTGAATGTATATAGACCAGCAAATTCTTTGCCTTCTTCAATTGATGGTGGTGGTGATGATGATTCAGACGTGATAGCCTCAAATTGTAAATTTTCAACAACAGCATATTTTTGTACAGGTGGTCTAGGAACATATGGTCGAGGCATTCGTAAATTAATATCACCGCCAAGAAGATTAGCATGTTTAATATTAAGTTTTGTTTTTCCATCATTTCGAATATTAGCCATTACGATAAGTATAGGATCAATTGATTCTTCAAATAAATTTAATTGATAACATGTTTTCCAATTAAGATTTGAACGAAGATAACTAGTATAAACATTATCTTTTGAATTAAATTTAAAATTAACATAATATTTTGATTCTGGTGGTGGAAGAATATGAAGTATATCGTTAGGTGAAACAGTTAAATAAATTGGTTCTGTACCAATAAAATTATCAGTAAATTGAACAAGATTTCGATCTTCATCAATCATTACACCTTTGATATATTTAATATTTGTATTGGTTGATGTTGGTGAACGAATATAAATTTTTTGATTATTAAGTGATGTTTTCTTTTCAGTCATTATTTGTTCGATAACATTAACATTTGGTCCAATAAGAGTAAGTGTATCAGGACGAATATAAGACCATTCTTCATTTGAAAATTCAAGTGGTAATTTACCAAGTGGTTCAATAATTTCAGCAAGATTCGAATATATATTTACATGTGAAAAGATTTTATTATCACTGGAATTTATCTTGCCATTAATACTGTATATGAATACAGATAAAAGAAAGAATAATGTAAGAGATTTCATTTTAAGATAGAAAATGACTGTTTGTCATGGGTTTATATACGAATTTATTTGCTTAGATATATACATTATTTGAAAACAAAGGAAAAGAAAGCAACAAAAGCAAATGAATACAATGACCAGACTAAATTATTGGTTATTTGTATTTCTATGAATCATTTTCTTCAGTTATATCATATGAAAGAAAATTCTTATCTTATGAAATATAGTACAAAGAACATTCTCAAAACAGATGGATACAATGAAAATAACTGGAAAAGTTACACTTAAACTAATAATGGTATATCGGAGAATAAAACTGATGCTGTCGATTTTTAACTACTTCAATCAAAACATGTAGATATCGATATATCATTTATTAGACAGTAGTGCTTTTAGCTTATTATGAATGCATAATTGTACATTGGATTTATAAGAAAAAAAACGAAATAATGTGACATAAATATGAAATTTGTTATTGATATATTTCTTTTTAAGATACTGGTGCAATACGAATTTTTCTAGGCCATAATTCCGGTAAACACGCAAAACATATAATAGGCATAAGAAGTTGAACAATATAAGGTAAATATTGTAAATAATACAATATTATTATATCTAAAAATGTTGGAATAAAATATAGACGAATAAGTATTGCTAACCCATATAAAACCCAAAATATAGAATAAACACTTGATATAGACATTAATTGTATAGTCATTTTACGTGTTGTTTTCCAAGTTACAGTTCGTTTCATACGTTTCTTTTGCATTAAAACACGAATTAATAAAATAATACTTGCAAACGGTATTATTATTGCTGGAATAAATATATTTATTATCCAATCATAACTTGCTAACCAAAACAGATCATTATAACAAATTGAACCACAGAAAAGTAACGAATAATTAAATGAATTTTCACATGAATAAATAAAAATACAGAAAAAATAAAATAATGGAATATAAATCATTGAAAAACTCAATGGAATATAATGCCATTTAATTTTTCCAACTGATGTTTGAATAAGATTTGAATGAAATATTAATATATGACGTTCAATAGATAACCATGCCATTAAAAAAAGATTAATTGATTGTAAAGAAAAATTATACCAAATCCAAAATAAACAAAAACCTTTCGTTTTAGGTTGAACATTACCTGTTTTAAGAAATCGAAGTGTTATAGGTAATTCAGTTGTTATTGCAATACAAGAAGTAAAGAGTAATGCGATTATTGAATGATTATTTAAACGAGAACGAATTTCATATGATCGAAAAAAACGATAGAGAACATAAATTGCGATGGATATAGATGGACATTCTATTGAAATAAATAAATAAAATTTTAATTGACGAACAAAAGTTGGTTCTAATAATATGGCAGTTTCATTCATTTCATTTTGCAAATAGTTCAATCGCACTCCGGACATATTTTTAGAGATTTACATAAAAATATTGTCTTTCTGAATACTAAGATTTCTACGCATTTTTTTTCTTCTTAACATATATTAAATTATCTACGTGAGAGATCATTATTATTGAAAGATATTTGATAGGATTTCATGTAATGCAAATAATTTTATTGGTCATCTATATTAAAATATTCAACAATATTTAATGGTGCTCTCGGAGTACATCAGAAGATGAACAATTGTTTCTGGAATAAATAGAAGTATGTTTCTGCTTCGGAAATTAACAACAACGATTTTATTTATTTTACGAAATGTTTGAATTTTTATATTATATTTAATAGATCTTGAAATACTTATGATTGTGTTTCACCTTTAAATTTGATATTCCTGTTTTTTTTTCGTGTATTGTAATTTTTGATAAGAAAGGTGTTGACTATGTAATGGTAATTTTTTCCTTGTAGTTTTGTTCTTCTTTTCCCCCCATTGCACTTTTCATCAAACATTAACATAATATGATAGTAATGGAGTTACTTAAAAGCCTTGTGGAATCAAAAAGTAATAAACTAAAGTTAATGACATTACTTGAACAACAAAAAGATCTAATTAAGAGTTAGAGACATCAAATACAATCATCGAAGTATTTGCTGGCATTTCTCAACATAGCATTATAACAGACAAAAAATTATAAGAAGTATGTCATTTATAGATTGATATTCATACACTCATTCATCATAAAGACTAAATACAAGTTCATCTTCTATGTATATAGATGCATTTTATTTACTTATCGAAATTAATTTACTTCGTTTGTTTTTATACTAATAACATTTTGTGATGTAGTAATACATCTCTTATTCTGTCACCTTGATAGATTTCATTAGATATCATCTCTTATGATATAATCCATCTGGATGTCGTTCTTCCGATGTTATCTACTCTCATATGCTCTGCATCAGTGCGCGTATCTATCAATATATCTGGACATCCTTCATCCGATATATAGTCCGAATCCTCACTTTCCACACAAATAAATTGTTTCCATCTGTTTATTATAATCTTTTAATACATCCATAGATTTGACTGTTTTATCGTAGGTCACAACGTTCTGATTTTGATTCGTTTTCTACTTGCATTGTTCACATATTTATTAATAGATTGTAAAGATGTTATTGTTGATAAAGTTAATATACGTCGTCATTAACCATGAATAGCAGTAATAGAAGACATTGGATTAAATTATGGATTTAACTGCGCATTAGTTGGCAAATAGATTGATCTTCATAACAGAACTACAAATTTTTGTTTTTTGTTATTATCGATACATCCGATTTATCGATATTATTGTTAAAAAATCACACAGCCGAGAAATTTTTACAAGATACTTATCTCATCGGCAAGTTAAATATTACTTATATGTCTTATCATTCGACAATTCTATTTTGTCTGACATGATTTTCTACATTCTACTCAATCTCTTCGGTTCTAGGAAGAAAAAAAAGCTCTGCTTACTTCGGTTAATATCAATGCTAACAGATGTATACATGACGATAATGATTTATTCTAAGAATGTTATTTTCCTTCTTATCTTAATAGTTAAATACAAGGTTGTTTCCATATATTTCGCGAATTAGACTATTGAATAAAACTAATATATACTGCTCATTCCTTAGTATTCTTCACAGTGAATGTTTGATTTGGAACATTCATTTTATCTTATAATATTAATATAAAAAAAAAATTTAGTCTTTAATTAATTGCAATCACAGATATTAAAAAGAAGTGAATACATATTAATATTGTTCAAAAGTCAGTACTAGTACTAGTTCCACCTCCACGTTCGGCACGATTTTTCATTAGTCTCAAAAGTTCCACTAGAAAAAAAACAAGAATATACAGATTTCATAATTTTCTAAAGATAATATTTATTTACCGGGTATCGGAAAAACGATAGTTGAATTTTTTTCTGCTGATATATGTGTTAATGTTTGAAGATAACGTAATTGTAATGCAATTGGACTTTCATTAATAACATCAGCAGCTTCCTAGAATACATATTTATATGAAAGTAATTCTATATTGTATATTTACAGTAATTAAATCTTACCTTTAATGATCTTGCTGCTTTTTGTTCACCTTCAGCTGCAATGACTTTAGCACGAGCTTCTCGAGCAGCTGTAAGAAAAAAAAAGAATGTAATTTGATCATAATATAGAATAAAATAAAGAGTAACAATTCTAACCTTCAGCTTCAGCAGCCATACTACGTTGCATACTAACAGGCAATCGAACATCTTTGCTAAATAAATGATTAAAATTATTAATAGAAAAAAAACAGAATAAACTAATTATTAACATTTCAACACGTTCTACTTTAACTCCCCATGGATCAGTTCCTTCATCAAGATGAGCTTGCATTGAATGTGAAATATTTTCACGATCAGATAAAATTTCTTGTAAAGTCTTTGTTCCTCTAATGATCAAAAAACAAAAAAGGTAAAATAAAAGAATTTTATTTCTAAATTTAACTTACAAAATATTACGAAGTGTTGTAGCAGCAAGTAATTGTGTTGAATAACGTGCATTTTCAACATTAGTTACACTTATTATTGGATTAAATATTCGAAAATAGACAACAGCATCTACTGAAACTGTCTATAAATATATAAAATTATATCGATATACTAGTTTACAAATACGAACCACTGAATCTCTTGTCAGAATCTCTTGTGGAGGAACATCAAATGTAACTAGAATAGATTTATTTCGAGAGTAATAATAATAATACGATTTATAATTAATTAATTACCAGTTCGTAAATCGACTTTCATTATAGAATCAACACATGGTAAAATAAAAAATAAGCCTGGACCCTTGGCGCCGCCTAAAGAATATAATAATAGTATTATTATATTCTTACTCTTTTCATACCAGATAAAATTCGACCAAGACGCATAATAACTGCTCGTTCATATTCTTGTACAACCTATTGAAGAAATATTTATATAAAATATCTAAAAAAAAAATCTTTATTCTTACTTTTACAGTAACACAAAGTGAAAATGGTAATGTTAATGCACATAATACATAAGATAATCCAACAAGAATCCATGCACATGTTCCAAGACCATCTTCACTATTTCGTATATCGTCTAATAAATAAAATCAACAATATTAGTTTTCAAATAAATTTAATTGAAGAAAAACTTTTAGCAAAAGCTTATGAAAAGACGATCAATAGACGAAAATTTATTACAATTATTATTTCTTGATATATTCGACGAATTAACTGATAATCAATAATAAAATAGATAAGGAAACGAGAAAAAAAAGATAAATTAAAACTTTGTTATCTTACATTGTGAACCTGTTCCTTGAGCAGTTGTAATACGATCTTGTTTTGATGTCATAGCAATAATATTTTCCGAAGAATTTACTTTATTTGAACGCTAAAGTATATTGAAAAAATTTGTTGATATTTCTTTTTTTTATCTGTATGTGTCAATAATAATGTTCTTTGACGACGCATTTCTTTGATAACTAACAAGCGTATCTAATTCACACGTCACTTTCTCTCTAGTATATATGTCTGAGTTGAAGAACGAAAAGAAACGAGAACGTTTCTTTCTCTATTCCTCTCAATGAGATTTTCGTCATAATATAATGTGTGTGTGTCTGATAGAGTTGAGTATTAGTAAAAGTTGTATATATTATCTGATACACGTCATCATATTGTCAATTTATATAGAATAAGATGGATTAAAAGAAAACGAGGGCGACAAAAAAAAAAAAAAGAAAAGAAAAAAGATAAGCATCGATTACTGAGACATTCGTCAGCACTTCTTTCTTGCTATTTCACCATGGTTTCTGTCAAAAATACAGATTCAAAATAGACAAAAAAAAATGTCATGCGACATAAACAATAGCTGTCATTCATTCCTGTCGACAGACGAACAGATAGGAAATCAATATGAATGTGTAATGATCTCTGTATATTTTCTTACATCTCTATAAAAATTTTACCAAACTAACTCAGACAGTTACTTATTTGATTAACACGATGACAGAAATGATGAGATAGCTTTAGTCTATTACTAACCGCTTTCATGAAAATTCTTGTACCACTAAATTCGACGTTAAGAAGTATAGGAATGAAACAAAGAAAAACTAAATGGTTATTTGATATTTTTATAGCTCCGATTAGTTTTAACCGTTGCTACGTGATACATACGTCATGTATATTATTTATCAAGTGTAGATAGATGATAAAAGATTGAGTCAACTAAATATATATAACAAGTTGTTTTTTTTTCTTCTTCTTTTCTTTCTATTTTTTATTAATCATAATAGACTACAGATCAAATGAATTCTATTTGCAAAGCATTCTGGATGAATAGATAAGCGAGAGAGAGAGAATCGCTTGTAGTGTGATGGATTTGTTGCTGTAGATTATCTATTAAAGCATAAATAACCTTTACAAACATATTCTGTTTATGTAATATATCGAGCGTCTCTTATCTACTTCTTTTTTTGGCTTCTTCTTCTACTAGATGTTCGCATTTAGTATTAGTTTGTGCACAACGTCTTTATATTAAATCAGCTAGAGAATACTCGAAGGAAAATAACTAGAAGAAATATGAAACTATTCGATCGAGTTCAATTAAGAGTTCCACATTTATTCTATCGGATAGAATATATAATCCATGTAATCGATAGTTCAATTTATAAATTAATCGGATTAGAAATTTTCATTAGAAGAAAAATAAATAAATAGATTAATATCGATAAAAAAATTTATTTATTATCAGAATGTTCATAGAGAATAACATTGTTTTTCTTATTGTTATTGCATACAATCTAAACTATGCGAAAATATTTTATTAGAATAACAATCAACTCGTAATTATTGTTATTTATATAAATAATGATTGCATTCCTATGTCAAACAAAATGTAAAGCTTTCAGTTATTGAAACAATCGATACTAAACTCACGTACAATTGTTTTTAATACAAAATTCTGATAATAGTGTGATTGATATATAAATATAAAATACGTCTTGCATGTGATTCAATTCCTCTGATGAAATTTTGTAGGAAGTCGATTGGAATAATCGGAATGAACATGAAAATCGATTAGAAACTAATTCAAAAACTGATAAGAAAGAAAAGATGAAGTTTATGATTGTGACAAAACGTTACCTACCCTTAGAAGAGAGGCAGCCTCAATGTTCTCTTTCAGTATTTCTTACTTTCTTTTTCTCTAGGCACTTATCCACTTGTTTTACACTTAGAACCGCTTCATTAGTTCGACCGTTTACCATACATATATGGCGTCATCAAACGATCCTTTCAAATCTGACCTTGAACTACATTTCTAACAGTATGTGATTCATTCTTCAGCGTATGAAAGGAACAACAAAAATACAGTATAGTCAATCTTTTTAATATTCGAAATAAATATAAATATTACAATGGTGTTTATAATATCAGAAATCGTCACAATAATAATCTGTAATGAAGCATAAAATTTGTCAACATTTTCATGCTATTCTAACTTTATCTGATATATACAGATTTTATCAAAACTAATACTTGAGGGTACCTTATTTTTGTACAGAATGTTTAAGGAAATTTTCTTTTTTTTTATGAGACGATATAGAAAACAAAGCTCTATTTGATCATACTTCAACGAATATCATAACAACAAAATTTCAGTAAGACTTGTTCATATGTAGAACTTAACTAATGCGTGCGTCAAAATAAATCGCCGCGTTTGTAATACATTTTATTTATCAAAAAAAAAACGAAATATACCATGAGAAGCTCTACAATCTACCAAGTAAAGCGTATTTGAATTGTATACTTCGTTCTCTTCAAAAAAAAGTACAACTGTGCCACCGGTGTTCGCTGTTGCAAAAGAAATCATTCTTTTTTTCTTATGTTATCGTCTTATTAAAAGAGCGAAATAGACCACGTGATGCAATATGAGAAGTCGTACAGTTTACACAGAAACAGTATATTTCATTTTCAAAAGAAAACGTATTATAACCTACCCTTTAGGTTTTGTTTTCTTTATCAGCTCATAAAAAAAGAAAATTACCTCAAGCCTTGTATACGAAAATAAGATATCTCGGTCAATATTTCTGGATACCTATTCATAGCAGTGGCGGATTTAAGGGATAAGGCGCGATCGTCCCCCCTTCAGAAATTTTTTTCGATTTTTCACAGCAAAAATAGGTTTACACTACTTCGATTGGACTCAGAAAAACGTTTTTAGCCAAAATCGCCCCTGTCTGCTTAGATATTGTCCCCCCCCCCCCCTTCCAAAATCCTAGATCCACCACTGCTACATAGAAGTCTCAAATGAAATTTTATCTCCATTGATCATTTACAAATTTAAAAGTAGTTTAAAATGTATATAAAAAAATTTCCAATATCGAAATTCAGCTTACTTTTACTGTCTTATTCATTTGGAAAATTGAATTTTCTACGTAACATACATGCCACGTGCGTTATAAAATCATTTCTTTCTATCTATATACAAATGAATGAATCATTAAATAGAAAAACACTTTACAATATGATATTCTATGAATTTAATAGTAAACTTCTTGATAGTATTGATTTGAATATTAAATATCATTTAAATGAAATTGAAATTAATATTAAATGGTCACCATTAAAAGATTTTATTCAATGGAAAATTTCTTATGTTGATGATGAATGTACATTACCATCGAAATCACCATTATTTTATCTTTGTTCATCATTATCATCGACAAAAAATCATTCGTTAAATTCAACATTTTATTCTTATTGGTTTTTATTAGATTCATCATTTTATCAACGTCTTTTTTCTCATATAATTACCGATGAAAATCATTTTATTCTATTACTTTCTCTATCCGATGGACGAATTCTTGCTTTATCTGAATCATCCAACGATTCCAATCCAATCATTTGGTATACATCATTAAACCCATCTCCAACAATCATCTTAGGACTTTATTATGATTTAAATACGAATCTTCTCGATGCTGTTTTATCCTCAACGTCCACATTAAAAATTCCAAAATTAATTATAAATCATTTCATCCTCTGTGAATCATGTGGATGTTTAGTTATAATTAATTATTTAAATCTTCATCGTATACTTATTGATAATTTAATAAAATCAGCTTGTATTTATTTAAATAATTTTATTTATATAACAAAAAATGAAATACGTTCAATATCGGTATTAAATTTATTAAAAATAAAAAATGAAGATATAATTAATCAAACGAAAATTTTAAGATTTGGACATTTTGATAAATTAATTGTCGGTAAGAAAAATTATTTCGTTAGAGACAAAAAAAATATAATGAATTTTTAAGATATTTAGATGGACAGGAAATAATTCTTTATTATCAAAATGGAATATTTGAACGATTAAATAATCTTCTGTCGAATTCGTCAGTTCAATCACGTGGAAATTCGTTAGTAAATCAAACAAAAAAACTTACATGTTTAACAACAACTATAACAAATTTACAGACAAATGCTTGTTTATTACAACGTATATTAAATAAAATTGAAATATTTTATCAATTGAATCTAAAGAATTGTTTACAATTCATTAATAATCAATGGAAATTGATTTTAAACGATCAACAATTAAGAATATTTCAACCAAATGATTTTTTATTAATTTTAATATGTCAATATTCATCGAATAATATTAAAATTTATCAATTATTTCCAACAAATAATTGGATATTTAAAATGAATGAATTAGTTTTGAATACATTAATTTGTCAACCAATACTTATTCTTCGTTATCAAAATTATATTCATTGTCAACTAGGTTTAAAACAAATTATTCTATCATTTCAAGAACAACAAATTCAACAAGATAATATTTCGATTGAAAATTATTTTCCAAAAAAATTTAAATCATTAAAAAAGAATAATCCAGCAAATCAACAATATCATATAGCTTTAACAATGAGAAATAATGCAGCATTAAATTTTAAAAGTAAATTCAAAAATTATTTTTATACTCACGATATAAAGGATCAGTATTTTATCCAGGATTTTATTTCCGAGAGGGCGAAAACGATCTCCAGGGGAAGGAGATAGTAAAGGACGAATGCAGTCTTCGACGATGAAAAATGTCTGGCATTCCTACAGTAGATGTTCCTCTTAATGAGAAAAATATCCAGCGGCGGCCGTTCATAAAAAAAGTAGAAAGTAGTATTATTTTTTAGTCGAGAAACCTATAGTGTTCTACTTGTTCTTAGTATTTGTCAAAGGGTCTATTTTCGAGAGGGTGGCGGTCGCTAGTTCGCCGGATAACTAGAGCCGCCCTTGAAAATATCTTCTCCAAATCCGGAGAAGTAATTAAGGAGTAAATCAATTAAGTAGGATAAGTAAAGCGAATAAATAAGATTTTTTATATAAAACAGATTTACGAAATAATTATTATTTAAGATTGATTCGAACATATCTTTATGTACTAGCCGGTACCAGAGTTCAGCTAGATGAGATTCAAGCAATGTTGAAATTAATTGATTTTTTTCTCGTTTATTTCTTAAGTAATTCTTCGAAATAGGAGAAGATATTTTTCTCATTAACCCTCGAACAGCGTTCTCATTTTACTACATAAGGAGAACTTAAAATTTTGTTTGTTTTAAGCTTGGCATGGACGAATCGAGATTTGTATCAGGCATAAATACGATGGTATCAGTCCTGATAAATTAAAACGTTCCTGATTAAAGGTTTTATCAGTCAAAAAAAGCGTTGTGGATCTTATCAGACCCACAAAAACCGTTCGAGGGTTAAGAGGAACATTATTACTGTGATAACATCACTCTCTTATCTACATATATAATTCAGTTAGAAGATAGAACACTTTTTACATGCGGAGGAATACCTGCTAGGGGTTGAATAGAATTTTATTAAATGGAGGGTGTGATAAGTGAAAAACACAGCCACACCTACCCCTCACAATATTTTTTCTTTATTTTAGAATTAAATCTCAATCTTGCTCGACAACTATTCTTTGGTCAACATGATATTGTTAATATTGAATATAAACAACAAGAAATAAAAGTTGATACAGATGCCGGTCTTATAGATTCATTAACTATTCAAATGATACTTTCTAGTTCATGTCTTCGTCGATTAATTATTATATTTTCTATTCTTACTGAAGTATATTAGAGAAAATAATGAATTAAATTTTGTTTTCTATTGATTTTTTTGTTTTTAGTTATTCTATGGAAATAAAATAATTGAAGATAAAAATTTTATTAAACAAACTGATATAATAAAATTAAATGATTTAATTCAAGTAAGTTATGTTTTTTTTGATAAAAGTATTATGTAAAAATAAATTTTTCATTTTAAAAGGAAATTCAAACAAAATTATCAACTAATTCCAATGAATTAACTGATGAATTGTTACTTGATCTACTACAAATTCGTATATATCTATCTATGTTTCGTCTTGGTTCAGATTATACAGTTCAAGTTTATTAAAACACAAAATACAACTTCTTTTTCTTTTTCTCGAATATTCGTTCTATAATAACAAGAGTATCACACAGTTCGTAGTTAGACAAGATATATATGTACACGTGTTTTTATTATTTTTTTCCTTTCTTTGCAAATACATATATCAGCCAGAAAGTGTATGGTTATCAACGATAATAATCGACTGACCGACGTATCGATTCATAGTAAACGAGAACAATGTTAACAAAATACCGTGTTCATATTTGACTAGTCTAGTTGTAATTTTTTTTCTTTATCATATTCAAATATAAAGCTTTGTTTATTTCATTCAATTCAGTTTTTACTTTTTCACTTTTGTATATCAAACAGAATCATGTCATTCAAAGCTCCATGTGATCGTCCTGATGCTTCGCCAATGGATAGACGTGGTACAGGTGCATATAATATAAATGCTGGTATTGACTCAAGTATTACTGCTGATCCTGCTCATCGTGGTACATTATCAACACCAGAATTGGATTTAATTCGTAATTCAGCTAGTTATAAACAAGCTATGAAATTTGAAAAAGAAGATAATGTTGAATTAGCTGCAAAAATGAAACTTATGCATCATGCCAAAGAAAAAACTGAACATCGAGAAAAATGTGACAGATAATCTTTTTTTTGTTCTTTTATCTCTCTCTCTCTCTCTGTGTCTGTCCTTTTATTTGCATGCATTTTACGTATAATAAAAGAATATAAATAAAGATTAGCTTAATGTCGAAGAAAAGAAAAGAAAAAAGAATTGATGGCATCGTACTATCCTATGCGATGATTATCATAACAGAGAATATATATATATATATATATATGCATTTGTTACTAGAATCGTTGTTATTTACAAGTCGATGTTGAAGAAAAGAAAGGATAACTGAAGAATGGTTGGAATATGTCTTATGTATTTATTAATATTACCGATGGTAATGGTTGGTGCTATTAAAGAAATAGTAGTTGAAAAACCGTTTTATCTTCGTGCTCGTGTACAAGATTCTCAAACGGCTAGTGTTCTGTTTGAAATTGAAGATACAAATAATCAAAGATCATGTCTTATGTATAAATTTACTATTCGTCATAATCGTGAATATCCATATTCAATGCCTGAACAAAATTTAGCTTTTTGGAGAAATTCACTTGAATTAAAACATTTAGATGCTGGTGATTATCGTATATGTGCTATTATTTGTTCGGAATTTTTAAAGAAAAAATCAAATTTTACTTCGGAAAAATTTATTAGTAAAAATCGTTCAATACCAATAACAGCTTGTGTTACTATTCATGCATATCGTTCACATTTTCTTATACTTACACTTTATATTCTTGTTGCTATAATATTAGTTTTTTCACAATTTATATTTACATTACGTAAACGAAAAATTAAAGCACGAATTAAATCAGCATTAGCTGAAGTTGAAACTACTTTACATAATTGGCGTAATACTCAAACATCATCGATTGATCATACACAATCATATAGTATACTTCAAAGTCTTGTTACTTTACCAGCTTCACCTATTGATTATTCGAAAAATTCCTTAACTCCTTCGACTACTGAACAACGTCGGCCAACTCATCCAGTTATTTTTCATATTGAAAATTCAGTAACAGAAATACCATAATATATAATTATTCATTCGATCTCATTTATTTATTACGAATCGTTGTATATAAAATGATTGATTATATATTTTCGTAGTCTATATATACTTCTTAAGAAAGAAAATAAAAAAAATCATAAGAAAAAAATTTATTTTTTCATTTCTGCCCAAGATGATAATTTAATTATCGATATCATATTTGATATATATTCATAAGTATTATAGCAATGTTTTGCTACCTTGAGAATGAAGGATAACTATAATTCTTTCAGCTAGATAGCTAGATACCGACATCCTTTATACTGACACTTATTTCTACACCATTAAATAAAGTAGTTGACGAACAGTGACATCCGCAGAGAACCAAAAGAAATAAATAACATTTATCTACATCTCAGGAGGTACTAAGTGTCTATGTAAAAACTACAATTCGTTGAGTGTTATCCAATTGCAGGAAAGTCAACTATTCCAATTGAATACAATGCTACATAACGAAAAAAGATACACAAGTAGAAAATCTGAATTATATGTGGCAAACTTGATGAAAGAAATACCCGTGGAAGAGTAATACTATCTTTTGTTTAGATAAAGATATATCGATCCTTTTCAAAGACGATAACATTCGTGTAAACTACCTGTTTTAGTACTGTTCACAGTGTTTGTTGTCACCCATAACCTCAAAAATAGATACTTTATGCTAAGACAACAAATGTTAGAGAGAATTTTAGTATTCCAATCATCAGCAGATTTATCAATAGAACAAAATCTCGGTCAAAGTGTTGCTATTCCGATTGATTGTATAAATCATACCATGGAATGTCTATAGTTCTAAACAAAAGATCTAAACACATTTATTTATAGAAAATGCTTTCTCACAAATATTGCCATTCGTCTGCAACCCTATCAATATTACACAAGAAGATTTTCAGAAGTAATTGTTCTTTCTTTTTATTTGTTAGATAAATTTCATTACAAGTACACAGTAACAACAATAAAGACACATACACAAAAGAAGGAAAAGAAAAGTAAATTGATTATTTCATGTCAACATCATGATTTGAACCTTTGTGAACATCAATTGAAAATTTATATTCATGATCACAACCCATATAAGCATCCGACATAAAATAAAGAATATAATTGTGTGTACCAGCTGATGGTGCAGTAAAATCAAGAACAACATCTGCTTTTTGTTGTAATGTTAAACGTTTAATTGATATTAAAGCATTTGTTTTTAATTCTCCTATAACTAACCACCAACCTTCTTCACGTTTTTGTGGAAATAATGGTGCTATAACTGGGCCCGATACTTCATCAGCACGTTCTAATGAAACATTTACATTAACTGTACTACCCGATGAAATATCTTCTTTATCAGGTACTTCATAAGATACTTCAATATTTGGATAACGATTACAAAAACGAGCGACATCAGCTAATTTTGATGTACTTAATTGAAGTAATTCAACACGATCTTCATCTTGCATTTCCATTAAATCAAATACAGTTTCAATTTTCTAAACAAAAAAAAATTCTTTTTCAAATCTTTAGATAAAAAATCGATCATACCTTTTCTGTACATCGTTGAATAATTTCTGATGTAAAATGTGGTAATTGTCTTAAGAATGAATCTTTATTCCACATTCCTTGTGTAATCATTTGTGCTAATTCCATAGCAGCCAATGCAGGTGATAACCAACCATTTGAACTTAATACATCAACACATGCTTGAATAAGTCGAATAGCCTAATTTAAATAAATACAAAATATTTTCACATTACCAAAATATTTTTTTGTCTTACTTTAATTAAAATTTCATCCGTATCTTTTTGAAGTTCAGCTGATAATTGAATACGTGATAAATGTGCTTGAAGTAAAAGATTTGCTTTGACATGTGGGTCATTAAATTTCACATTTGTTAATTTATTTGGTAAACGTGTTGAAAGCTAAAATAATCAAAATAGATAAAATTTTATTGTTTCTTAAATTCATATATATTTTACTTGTTTTAAAATGCTATCTTCATGATGACGAATTGGTATATGTTCATATTCAGCAGCATTACCAACAATGTCAAGTAAAGTTTTGATTTTAGCTTTTGATGTTAACGATTTACTGAATAATTCTATAATAAAAGAAATATAGATTAGTATTCATCAAACAGAATATTTCGGATGTGGAATAGAGAATTCTATTGTTAATAGAGCAGTGTTTTATCTAGTGGGTGGGCGGCGCCCACCCGGAATTTTCATTTCCCCCCATCCAAAAAATAAACCTATGTGAGTTATCAACATAGAAGACCGTTGAAAAATGCTAACAGTACTATAATCTTTATGAAAATATGTAATACATACCAATTGTTCTATAATTAATATAATAATAAGCTGCAATCATTCCTAAATTTAATGGTGATGTATCCATTTCATTTTCAATTGTAATACACTAATAAAAAATAAAGATAAATATTTGTTTATTTTGTTCTTTAAATGAATCTTACTTTTGATTGTTCAAGATCACCTAATGTATTTTCAACTAATTCAGATAAATGATCGGATAAATGTCGATGTGAAACACCTTGTAAATTGTAATAATTTGGATTTTGTGTCATACGTCTATAGAGTAATGTCCATGTTAAATAATCAACAGCATCTTGTTTATTTTCAACTGTTTTTGTTACAATTTCTGCATTGAAATGATCATGTAAACAATGATCAAGATGCGATTCAATTGGTAATGGTTCATAAAGAAATTTTTTGAAAAAATCTTTTTTCGATGATAAACACATTAAAACAACTTTAGCATCATTTTCTTTTAATGGTCGATTAGCACGTCCAATCATTTGTAAAACATCAACTATAGGATAATCATCATATGTATGATCTTGTCCATTATAATATTGTGTATCCATAATAATAACCAAATAAGAAAAAAGATTTAATGTCCATAACATACTACGTGATACAATACAAACTTGAAGTGCACCAGCTGTATATAATTCTTCAACAATAGTACGATCTTTATGATTTAAACCTTCATGTAAATAAGCAACACCACGAAGAACAGTTTCTTTTAATGTTTGATCTTCAAGTTCTTTTGTAAATGGTTCAATTTCAGCTGTAGTGATATGTAAAAATCGATCTTGTTTTTGTTCAGCAGCAGCAAATGTTAATATATCAATAGCTGTCATACGAGATAATTTACGTGATGGAACAAAAACAATAACTGGATGTGAAGGAGAATGACGATTAATTGCTTGATAGACTGGTTTTGCCATGGCAATTAAACGTGAAGCATTATGTGTCATGCTAAAACCCTATAATTAAATACGATAAAAGAAAAAAATCACAAGAAATTAATGAATAATTTACTTGAATATGTAATTCCAGTTGAACTGGTCGAACACTTGGACGGAAATTGAAAGTAGCATTTGTACTACAACCAAGCCATTGAGCAATATCTTTAGCATTAAGTATCGATGTTGACATTGCAATTATACGAACGTTTCGGCCAATTTGAGAACTCATATAACGCATACGAGAACAAATTACTTCAAGAACAGGCTAGAAAAAATAGATTCAAAGTTTTAATAAATATGACGCTAACTTCGTATGCAATTATAAGGAATATAAACGAGTTCATATAGGATCTGATTATCGAATCAATTATTCGGAGTAATGGTGATTTCCTACGTGGAAAAGAGATGGTCAAACTCTCTTAGGATTATAGATAACAATATTTGCCTGGCTTAGTTCGTACGCCTAGTTTTAAGTCGAAATTTTGTAAGGCTTGAACCGTATCTCAGAGACCATTTTCTTGATGTCTATATGTTCAGTACAAACTAATCTTAATTCAGTCCTGCTCATATATAGTAGAAGAAGACTCAAAAAAATAAAGATGATCAAGTACAAATCATTGGCAGATTTCCGAAAGTGAGAAACTACCGTTCTTCTCCCATGAAGACTATTATCTGTATAATCGAGATCAGTTTTTCTCCAACAGAATCAATACAATTAATTTAACTTACTCCTTCATCTGAACCAATAACATGTAAATCATCTACAATAAATAAATTAACATTTTGAACATTTTTTCTTTGTTTCCATCGACGTGATAAAATATCCCATTTTTCTGGTGTTGATATTATAATATGACCCTAGAAAAACAAAATTTATTGATTATTATATAATAATTTTCTATAATATACTTTAGCAATTAATTTCAGATCTGTTGCTGTTTCACCTGTAAGTAAAACAACTTTTCTACCAATTGTTGCAAAACGTCGATCCCAATCTTGTCGTACAATTTCAGCTAATTCTTCTTTAGGTGTTACATAAACACATTTTGGTTCCGGATTTTCTTTTAATTTTTCATTTGAAAATAATCTTAATATAGCAAATTCAGCACAAATTGTTTTGCCACAACCTGTTGATGCACCCAAAAATACATTATCATCTGTATTATATAATGTATTAAAAGCTACAGATTAACGAAAGAATAATATTTATAAACAAAAAGATTTTTTTCTGTTATTTACCTTGAGTTTGAATTCCATTAAAATATTTAAAATTATATAAATCTTCATATTTTGAATTTCTTAATACATTAACAGGTAATGGTTGTAAATCAAGAAGTTCAGTTGGTGCTGGATGTTTTTCTGGTAATATTAAATGACGAAATGAAACAGCTACTTGACTTTCCGAAGCTATCCATTTATCAGATATGACACGAATGAAATATTGCGGTGGTAATGTTTCAAATACCGGAACAAAAAATTTTACATAATGTTCATCTTCACAATATTTTCTAAAACAAAAAATACATATTAACAATAATAATTGATGCATATTTCAATAGACTTACTTTTTCAAAAGAAAATATTCATGATGAAGTAAAATTTCTGAATCGACATCTTCAACGAAAATCCAGAATGGCTAAAAAATAAGAATATGATTTCAATGAATTCCATTGTTTTTTTTCTTTAAACTTACTTCTGCCATTCCATGAATTTTATCATCCCATTG